TTTGGATCTTTTTATTGATATTTTAAAATAATTTAGACTTTTTAATATGATTCAAATTTTGCTAAGAAAAAATTTTCCTTGATTGACCTGAGTGGACCTTTATTGCTATTTTACTCGGCTACCTTGATTGGCTGTTTCCTTGGCTTCCTTAATTGACCGGAGTGTACCTTGATTGGCATTCACTTGCCCCTTGGTTTCCTTGGCATTTCCCTTGATTGGCCCGTACCCTTTTCTTTTAATTTTAAAAATTAGAAAATGAAAAATTAGCGGGGACTAATGGAAAGAATATTTGTACATGAGCAATGCCAAGGGCACTCGCCAATTGCACTCTCCAACCAACACTTCCACTTTCATTGGCCACGTTATTTTGGTTTGTAAGAGGTAGCTTTCATAGCCTTAAAAAGCAAGCTTACGTGAGCCAATAGAAAGGCATGTGTTGGCTGCAGAGTGCAGGAGGCGAGTGCCCCTAGCACTGCTCTATTTCCGTATTCAAGTCCAGATGGATTGCCCATAACACTCTTTTTTTAATAGGGCAAAACGCGCAGATTAACCCCTCAACTTTACGGACAGTGGCAGATTACCCCCTAAAGTCAATTCACGTGCAAATTAACCCTCCGACTAGTCATCAGTGGTAAAAAGTCCCTTATCAGACGACTGACGTAAGCAATCCATCCAAAACTAACGATGACTTGCTCTATGGCGGAATCCACGGTGAGCTGGCCCTTCTCTCTCTTACTCCAATTGACATGTTACTTTTTTTTTTTAGAATATTTTTTTTAAAAAAAAGTAGAAAAGAGATTTATGACACCATACTTCTTTAAATTACCCTTCTTACTCCTACAAATTTGCAAAAAAAAATGCCATGTGTGTTGCTTTTTGCTCCTCCTTCCTCCTTTGCAAGTGCAAACCATTGCTTTTTGTATATTTTTTATAAGAATGAATGAAATATTTGGCTAATCAAACTAATTAAAGAGGCTTAATAGATAAATTAACTATTAACAAGGATGGAAAAAATTAACCCATCTCCTCCTGTGCCTTTTCCATCTCCAAAAGTTCAAGAATTTGTTAGATGAAAAGTAAAAAATTTACAAAAAAGAAAAAAAAAACCCTAAAGATCCATAGGAATGAAAAACACTTTTAAAATAATTTTTTTTTTAAAAACCATCAAATTAAGGAATTAATTGTATTGATTTGTCAAGATCCACCAGTATGGTCATTGGAATGTTCTATAGTAACATCCAATCCTTTAGACTAAATTGACTGGTGGGTGCATAGCAGGGGATTGCACTTGTGGCCTTTAGACCGCTTGATGTTCCACATCAACCTAACATACACAATCAAACATTTGATCAAAAACAAAATAAATTTACTAGTTTATTCAATCAAAAAATTGAACAATACAAAAAATTGTAAGGATAGACACTGGACCAATAACATTAATCTATGAAAATAAGTGCTTAAATTATTAGAATCTTTTACTCATGAAACTGATTCAGCCCAAGGAGAAATTAAAAAAACTCATCCAAAAGTCTTTGTTTCATCTTCACAGTTTCCTTTTGTTTCATCTTCGCACTTCACAGTTTCCTTTCATCTTCACACTTCACAGTTTTCATCTTCACAATTGGATTGACAAAGAAGAAATTGAGATTGATGGATTTAATTGTGGAAACTCATCCTAATGTTAAATTATAAAACCAGAAAAGAATTTGAAGGAAAAGCAAAAGGCAAAACTATATGTTAAGCCCTTGAACTAACCCCAGATTTGTTATTGAGCCCCTAAACTTTAATTGATGCATATAAACCTTTAAACTTAACGGTTTGAGCAATTTAGCCCTTATTCTTACAACAATTAAAGAATTAAGGGCTAAATTGCTCAAATTATAGAGTTTAGGGGCTTGTATGTATCAATTAAAGTCTAAGAGCTCAATAACATATGGTTTTGTCAAAGCAAAAAGATTTGAATTTTGAAGCAAATCTCTTTGCTCTTTTCAAT